TTTCTTGAACGTGATTTTTTTAAATACATCTCTGAAAAGATTACATTAATGATGAGAGGTCCTACCCTGCTAGGACACTGTATTGGAATTACTTTGATGAAACTGAAGATATAAATTCTGTTTCATTTAAAGACAATGTAACATGACAGTTAGGTAGAGTGCCCCACAAATCAACAATTCTGGAGCAGCAGCTTCCTTGCTCTGTCTTAATTTAGCAGAAATCAAGCCATTTTGAATCAAAGTGGTACATGCATCCATTCACTTCCTGTCCAATCAAAACTGAATTACCTGTCAAAAGAGAAGTACACTTACAAGTGTGAAACCATTTGACCATGTTATATTTTAATTTGCAGAGACAAAAATGACAAGCAGTTTATTTACATAAAACTGTACAAAAGCAAATTAAATTATGCAAAGTATTTCATAAATAGTTGGACGAATGTTTAATACATTTCGCCATGTTTAGCATAGTTGCGTGCATAGTGACTCATAATAAACGATGATAAATTGTTCTCTGCTTCACTATCAACATCCAGGTAGCAGAACAATAGTCAATGATTAACATTACAAACAGATCCATACCACACTGAATGCAAGTGCTTTAAAATGTAAGAAGTTTTCTGAAAGTAAACCCCAAGTAGCCAGGGGAAAATAATAACAACAACAAAAAAAAGCGATGCCTTCCTCCAGACATTTCTACCCTGGTCAAAACTAACATGCTTACAATATTCATGATCTTTTGCACTCCTTTTTTTCTTAAGGACATATTGCATATTTATCACTGATCAAATAGACCTAAAACTATTTAGGTCTTCAGATTCCTCATGACTGTTTTAGGATGACTGATTCTTGGCAGTTTCCTCTGGTCTGTGTTTTATTTTCTTTTCCTATAAGACAGTTTCCTAGAGTAGTCATTCAGTCAGACATCTTCAGTACCATTTTAGTTTCTCCTCCCATAAAAATAGTGCCTCCCTTGTTTTCTGAAACTCAGGCAACAGGCCAGTCAGAAACCATACAGAAATGATATCCAGAGGTTCAGAATGAACATTAGATTTTGACTGAAGCTACACATGTTTTAATACACATAAATTTATATAGTTACTCATTAATTTATAAATGTGTCCTAATGTATAATGCATGCAAAGTTCATTTGAGATTCCTGGGTACAGAAAACAAGAATGGTTTATATACTGTACAAACAAAAAGAAACAGCAGCTAAAGGAAAACAACAAAAAAGAATAAAAATTCTAAATAACTATTTTACCTTGCAAAATAGACTGATTTTTACGCCTGATAGTATCTCTCTGTGTTACTATCACAATAAATGCTTTAGCCTCCCAGTCAGATTTAAGCAGTCCATTTTAATGTCTTAATTTTGTTTTATGAATGAACAATATTTAAGACTGGTCCATTATCTGAGTTTGGCAGAAGGCAAATTTTTAATATATTATTTATTATTTTCAGAAAATAAACATGGATAAATATACAGGATCAAAAAAGTTGGGAATAGCCCATTTCCCCTCATTGTCCAAACCCAACAACCGTTTTTTTACCATAACAACAGGTATAAAAGGCACAGTTGCTTATTTTGCATTCACTCATTTATTTTATATTTTTGTATCTTTTTATTTATTTATTTTTAAAAGCACTCTATATATGGAGTGGCACCAGATTTAACCTATTCAAAATAAAAGTCATACAAACACAAAATATATTTCTGTGTCATGCCAGCTCATTATATAATAAACATGTTGTTGTTGTTGTTGTTAGGTGCTGTTGAGTCGGTTCTGACTCATAGTGACGCCTATGTACAACAGAATGAAACACTGCCCAATCCTGAGCCATCCTCACAACCATTGCAATGTTTGAGCCCATTGCTGCAGCCATTGGTCAATCTATCTTGTTGTTGAGGGTCTTCCTCTTTTTCCACTGACCCTATACTTAATCAAGTGTGATGCCCTTCTCCAGGGACTGCTCCCTCCTGATAATATGTCCAAAGTAATGATATAAAGCATGGCCATTGTTACTTCTAAAGAACATTCTGGCTTTACTTCCTTCAAGACAGACCTGTTCGTTCTTCTGGCAGTCCATGGTATATTCAATATTTTTTGCCAACACCATAATTCAAATGCATCAATTCTTCTTCAGTCTTCAGTGTTCATTGTCCAGCTATCACATGCATGTGAGGCAACAGAAAATACCATGGCTTGGGTCAGGTGCACCTTAGTCTTAAACATGACATCTTTGCTTTTTAACACTTCAAAGAGGTCTTTTGCAGTGGATTTGCCCAATGAAATACATCGCTTGAATTCTTGACTGCTGCTTCTATGGGCACTGATTGTGGGACCAAGTAAAGTGAAATCCTTGACAACTTCACTTTTTCTCTGTTTGTAATGGTGTTGCTTATTGTTCAGTTGTGAGGATTTTTGTTTTATGTTAAGGTATAATCCATACTGAAGGCTGTAGTCTTTGATCTTCATCAGTAAGTGCTTCAAGTCCTTGAACATGTTATGATAGCTAATTCTACATGTTATGATAGCTAATTCTACTAGAATTACTGTGAATACTTACAGTACACTGAATTTTATTCTTTCACACCCATTTTAGTTCTAAAGGGAGGCTCACAAGTTTAATGAAAATGGAATGAATGTCATGAATGGATTGAGTGACTGTGGATGCAATCAATGTAAATATTCATTATGGCCTGTATTAGCTTTATAGAGAACAGAAGGATTTAAAGGTAGAGGGTAGAGTGATATAAGATATCTAGTGGTTTCAAATGTCTCATGAAAAAGAGAAAAAAAACAATTAAAAAAAGTTTGTTGAACACTTGTGTTATGCAATTACTTCCATTGTAACGTGCAAGAAAAATATACATTTCATAAGTATCTGTAGAAGCATTTTGTCTTAATAGGTACTTACAGATTATACAAGGCAGACCTGCTTTAATGCAGTTTCCTAACAAAGTACTACAATTGCATCTTTCCATAGTGTAAATAATAATCAAACATAAACATGTTTAATTATTCATATTTTAGTTCAATGTTTTTGTTTCAATTACATACATTTTTCATCTTAACTATTACACATAAACTAACACCAAAATGAAAACTCCATTTTAGAAAGAGCATAAGGAAATGACTCCAAAAGTGTACCCCACCAAAAAGAGAAGTGGTTTTCAAAGATATGCATTTTTGATGATCTATAGGGAATTATCAACCTATAGTCCAGGTACTTCACATTACAGTCTAAGAAATTATGCAAAGCAAGAAGCTACCCAAAGCTACATTGTTTCTACAGTTTGCTGGAGAGCCATCAAGGCTACACTTTAACCAGGTTATAAACAATCTGTAAGGGAATTCTTGCTCTCTTTGCCTGTTATTCCCTATGCTGTCTATGGATTGTCACTCTCATGTGAATGTCCCAGTTCAATTTCCAATAGTTCCAGATCACCTTTATAAAGTGAGTGACTCACATCTGCATATTCTGTTCCTTCTTAGTGAACTGAAACACTATGTGTTTTCCAACTTTGAAAGGTGCATACTGTGAGAAGTGTCAATGTCCAGAACTAATCTCCCTCATGTTCAGTCTGGATTTGTTTTAAGACATACATTAACTAATATTTAAACTCCATTAGTGACAAATTCAACTGTGGTGTCCCCTAGTCTCAACACTGTGAGTCTCAAAATAACTCTATATTGCACAGGATTCAAAATTAATGCACTCGTGTTGTGTGGAAAGCATTCACTGAACACGAAGAAATGCAGTTGGTAATTTGATACGTGGCTAATAAAACCAGCAAGCATACCTTGGATTCTAAAATTATAATAGTGGACTTAATTTATAAGACTGTTATGTCAATGCATCTTAATTTCCTTACCTTACTAACCACAAATAGAATGATTTTAAAAAGTGGAATCTTCCCTGATAATATTGTTTGAAACTAACCTTGAACTTCTAATTGCCTACTATCATAATACCAAAAAATATGTTTTATAAGTTTTTCATTTTCTGAGCTTTCCATTTTAAAAGAAGCATGTCTTCAGGGTACAGAGACTGTCAAATGAATAAGTGTTTGAGTGTTCCTGGGTGTGCATGGGTTCAGCTGTTTTTATTGTTTAATGGATTTCCATGTCAAGATCAAATATACTTCATGATTTCCCTGATCCATGGTTTGGTCTTTGGTCTTTTCATGACATGATTCTTCCAGTTAGTTGATAATACTGGTCCTGTTCTTGGGAGGCAAAAAAAGTAATTTTTATAAGTCATATGTAGTATAATTGATAACTGTGAAAAATTTATCTGCATATTTAGAATATTGAGAGAACACATGGAATTGGAGTTGAGTCTCCTGACTCGAAAATAATGTACGCCAATTTGGAAGTGCAGTCGCCAACTGGGTATTGTTTAGCTCTCAGTCTTTGTGAGATAATAAAGCTGTGATCTTCCCAAACTACTTCTTAATGGAGTCCATGTTTATAAGGACTGTACCTTTAGAGGAACTCTCTCATTTTCAAAGGATTGCCTTTGCTATGTTCTGAAGGTATGTCTGAAATATATTTCAGTTGACCTGCTATTTTTGAACAGCCAGATGACACTCGAACGAAATCAAAGTGACTAAAATCATGCTTCAGCCTAAGGATAATGAGAGTGTGTTGTGTTCTGCTAATCAGGCTTGTTACCGTGAAAGAAACTTACAACCATCTTTTTTGTTTGCTTTTTTTTTTTTTTGGAGGGGTGTAGGGGTGGGAGGGAGAGTGAGTGTTGGGAATCAGTGAGGGCTTAGACATGCAAGTAACAAGGATGATTTCTACATTGTACATTATAATCAGGCTAACAGTATCACTAACGGCCTGACCTGGAGGCAGAAGAGGCAGGCAAAGCTTTGTCTCTTTGGTAGCCCCCTCTTTTTCAATAAACGGGTTTGCTTTGTAAGTTCCCCTCTCCCCTTATTCTCCTTCTCATACATGAAAAGAATTTTGCTGTTGCTCCTTTATAGCCTACAGGTAAACTTCTCTTCTAGTGAGCGTATTGACAGGAGATGGCTTGTATTCCCCGGTTTTTGTAAGGGGAATATCCTCAGAATTGGCTTCCTCATTTTTGCTGAAACTAGGTGTACTGAAGGTCTCATAGGATGAGGTCAACTTTTTGTTCAGGAGGTTTCTGTTGCGGTCTCCCATGATGGCAGCCTCGCCATTGGCCAGCTTTTCCTGACTTCCTCGTTCATCAACAGGCATGAAAGTGGAGAGTTTGGGCTGGCTCTTCTTCCTCTCTGGAGAAGTGCGGACGGGCATCCAGCAGGAGTCTGAGTGGCCGTATTCATCACACTCGCGGGTGCACTTCCCAGTCAAGGCTACATCTGGAAGAGGTCTTGAATCTGAAACCCAAGGAGAACAAATCATTAGAGTGGGACACTCTCTAAACAGGCTGTCTTAATCTGTATGTCATTGTAAGAGTGAATATATATATATAATATATATCTCCCTTACCATCTTACTTCCCTTTACCCACTGTTTTCAGCTGATCATCCCATAGAAAAGTTTTTATTTCATGTACATTAAACACAACGTTTTGCAAAAACATCAACTTTCATACAAAGAGGGGATTGGACAAAATGATACATTTAATTGCATAGAAGAGACAGGTATACGAATTTGTTACAGGACAAGTCCATGTGGATATCCTCAAGTAGGAGCAATAGAGTATATATACATACATATATATATACACATATACATATATATATATATATATATATATATACACACATACATACATATATAAACTTGGGTATTTCTTTCCTACATCCATAAATTTTTTTTTAAATCCAAATAGGTAATTTTATGTATTTATAAATTATCTCAGAAATGGTGTTTTTTTGCCAATTTGATTCCTCTGGCTTATGCATTATTCATGGCATGCAAATATGCAAAACCTTATATTTAAAATACATTCTGAGGTATCAGGATGACTCAAAAGTTAACCTAAATTGATAACACATAATGTAATGAAAAGTAAAAATCAAAGTAAGTTTGGGTGTGAGCATACTAATAACACCATTTAACCCACCTTATCCCCATATCCCTCCACCATGTCCAATGACCTTATATGTGCTGTGAGTGTTCACAGAGAAATACATTTGTCAATGTTTTTGCAGAATCGAAATCTTATGTGAAATGAAATGTGTAAATATGATTAAGTTCTTAACCTTTTGATGAAAAAGCATGTATGCCTAATGAGTTGTGTTGCCCAGTGGAATGGTAAATGTCCTCTAGTTCTAAAGTACTAAATCCTATCCAGAGATTTCTTAGGGATCAAGATTAAAGATGGCAGTTAAGAATTACATGTATTTTTAATCAAAATCATTATGTCTATATGTCTTTGGAGAATGGTTATGTATTTGTTCAGTATTAAAAATAATTTTTTTTCCCCAGACTTTGTGTTTGAAAATTAGAGGAAAAAAAATGTTATTTCTACATCAACAGATTGCAAGAGACCCACCTCTGGGGTATCATTGAATATATTCTATATTTTATTGCCAAACAAAAGAACATAATATGGCTCTGCTCCTGTTCCTATCATATTACATATTATTACAAATCTTGGGATCTAAAGCTGGCAAGTTTTGACCCCTGCACATATACTCATAAGCGGAATCAGTGAGATTTGCATTTAAATAATCCTGGGTAAATTTTATTTAAAATAAAAGGAATTATCTATTTTATTTTCAATACATTTACATTATAATCTCTGTTATTATTATTTTTTTAATCATGCCTCCCCCTCCATTTTACCCATATATTCCAACTTAGGCTATCATTTGCATAGGATATTTTATACATTTTTCTCTGCTAAATCTCCTAAATCAAAGCACTCAAATAATTCATGTCATTTGATTTTTTCTTCAGTGATGGATAACTGAAATGTTGACATATTCCAGCCCATCATTTTTTGAACCACTGTGCTATGGTACTTTTGCGCCATGTGTTGGGAGTTCAACAAGTAAGTGCCAGTGTTCTTTTACAGGAAATGTCAGTTTACTTTTCTCTTTCCCAAAGGGAAAGTGCAAAGGTAATTATTCATTATAGTATTACATGTTGCTATTTCACTGCTAAGGAGCTCTGGTGCCATAGTGGATAAAGGCATTCAGCTGCTAATCAGAAAGTTACCAGTTCAAACCCAGCAGCCACTCCACGGAAAGAAGATGGGGTGATCTACTTCCATAAATAATTACATAATGAATTACAGCCTTGGAAACCCTACTCAATGGCAGTTAGTTTTTATTTTTTTTATTTTTTTTATTTTACATCTAAATAGGCCCAAACCAAACATACTGCCATTGAGTTAACTCTGACACAACAACTTTATGAGACAGAGTAGAACTGGCCATACAGAAAGAAGGAGACTGCCACGCGTTTCTCTTGCAGAGTGTCTAGAGGGTTTGAACTAAAGTCCTTTCAGTTAGCACCTCAGTACTTTAACCATGGCACCACCAGGGCTCCTTTCTAAGAGGGGAAAAAAACAAAACAAAACAAAAAAAAAAAACAACTCACTACTGTAGAGTTGTTTCTGATTCATAGTGAGCTCTCCTTGGGTTTCTGAGGCAGTATCTCTATGGAAGTAGATTGCCCAATCTTTCTTCCGAGGAGTGGCTGTGGGTTTGAACCACCAGCCTTCTGGTTAGCAGTGAAATGTGCTAGGCACTACACAAACAGAGCAGATGTTCTTCATTTTACCATCAAAAGGAAAACACTTTCCTGTTCTTACTTTTATTTTTTATTTTACTAAATTCCTTCTGTGTTATATTTAAATAGCTTTAAAAAAAAACTATTGAGAACAAATTTCATTTTTTTTTTTTTTTACAATCAAGTTGGTATAAGTTTATTCTCAATGAGAAAAATGAGTTATATGGGAATATTTTGTTTTATAAAAATTGATCTAAATCTTTTGAACAGAAAAAGTCTCATAAAGATGCAAAGTAGAAAGATTAGATCTAGTTTTTCTCTAAATCTTGTTTTTCTTCACCCCTTTAATGAGTTCACACTATTATTTTTTTCTTATGATAGTGCCTGTCAAGAAATTTAACAATAATCAGGAATTTAGCTAAAAAAGAAGGGGGGAGGACAACTCTATGAAAGTGTTTTTAATCTACTGCAGCAACAACTTAAAATCACTTATGATCATCAAAATTTACTTAAATCTTAAATATTGCACTTCAAGCAGTTTATTAAAAAATCAACGACTCATGTAAATGGCTGCTTTCAGGGATTACTTTTTGTTTCTAGATTGAAATTCATTGCACCCTGTTTTCCCTTTGCTTAAAATGCATTTAGAGACAGCTTTTAAGGCTATATTAGTAGTTTGGCCGTTCTTCTTGCCTTTTGTTTAACTTGTGCATCCATTCACCCATTGGTATTGAGTTGATTCCAATTCCTTTTGACCCTACAAGATGGAGTAGAACTACTCCATAGCATTTCTAAGACTGTTATCTTTATGGAAGCAGATTACCACATCTTTCTTCCTAGGAGAAACTGCTGACTTTTCAATTAACTGCTGTGTATATAACCACTGCACCACCAAGGCTCTTTGAATTAACCAATCGATTATAAACAAACAAACAAACAAAAACCTAGATATACATATATGGACTCATTTTCCAGTGTAGTATCAGTGAGATGCTCTGCCATTCTTAGCCTCAATCCTTATGACATAGTCTGCCACATTTCTGCTGAAACTGATTTCTACTTATTACTTTTAACAAAACATGGCTTGTCTTCTCTGCCATCACCCACGTGAAGGCTGCCACATCTCTATCCAAGAAGCATGACTTTTAATAAGGATTTCCTGTCATTTCCAAAGTAAAACAATTGATTAGAAGCCACAGTGGAAGTTGACAGGCCTAATTGGCTAAGACATGTTGTAGTGTTTGCTACGAAATTTAAAAAATAATCAAGAAAAGCTTTAAGAGATTCATCATGAGCAATCAAACTTCTGATCTTAATGAGTCAAATGAACCCTCAAAAGAAATGCCAATGATTAATAAACACAACTTGTATTATAATACAGTTTATTAACAGTAGGCATGAGTGGAATAATATTTTTCTGTGTTTATATATTTTCTTTTTTTAAATTGTGATTTGGGTGCCATTTTACAAAGCAGATTCATTTTACACTCAGCATTTCATACACTTTTTGTTTCATGACACCAATTACAATCCCTACAATATAACAGCTCTCTTCCTACCTCCACCCTGCGGTTACCCATTTTCCTGTGGCCTTCTTACCTATGCATTCCTGCCTGTCTAGCTATCTCCCTGTGCAAATGTTGCTCTTCCTATCTCTCACTTGTCTTTTCTAAGGAATGCATCTCCCAGGTGTAGTTGTTTAGCTCATAGGCCTATTGTTTGTCTGAAAGCTAATTCATGGGAGTAAGTTCAATTCAAGGCCCGAAGGCACACATTTTTTTATTTTGATTCTGTAAGCATATATTATAAACTACTTAGAACACAAAAATAAGACATACTCTTAGTTTTTGAATGTCATCTAATAGGACTTAGGTAGTCCTATTAGAAAGTATGTTGTTGTTCAGTTCTGTTGAGTTAGTTCCACCTCATAGTGACCCAGTCTACAAAAGACTGGGATGCTGGCTAGTCCTGCACCATCCTCACAGCGGGTGCCGTGTTTGAGCCATTGTGGCAGCCACTGTGTCCATCCATCTCATTGAGGGTCTTCCTCTTTTCTGCTGATGTCTTACTTTACCATGCAGGAGTCCTTGTCCAGGGATTGGTCCTCCTGATAACATGTCCATCCTCCTTCTAACATAAGCTCTTAAAATGTCAACTTTTATGAGTAAAATATCTAGTTTTATTAGATTATAAAGACAAAACTTCCAGAAACAGTACTCTGTCTTTGCCTTTCACCAAAAGATGTTTTGTTTAACATATAATTGTATTATTTTGTGCTTTAATTTTAGCACTATTTCCTTTTATTTTGATCTGAGTGAAGATGAAAAACAGCTAGCCACCAAATCTTGTTGTACTAGACTTAAAAAAAAAGAAAGTAAAACTTACTATTTCAAAATATTATAGTATTCTCTATTGGTAGTTTTCATAATAAAGGCAGTTCCTTAGTGTTTTTTCTTTCTTTCTTTCTTTTTTTTTCCCCACTTAACCATATCACATCTTGACAGACCAGAAGTGGAAATGGCACTAAACACTCCTGTTATTCTTGCTATTCATCACTTGTTATTCTTGTTATTCATTACTTTTAATGCTCTTCATTTTTACCTGTTGTTGTTGTTGTTGTGTGCCGTCAAGTCAGCCCTGACTCATAGCGACCCCTCCTTGGGTTTCCGAGGCAGTATCACTACGAAAGTAG